CTCCAGTGGCGCAGGGCCTCAGGCACGTGACTGCTAACCAGAAGGCTGGTGGTTCAAAACCAGCCACTCCTCGGAAGGAAGATGGGGCAATCTACTTCTGTAGTGACACTGCCTTGGAAACCCAAGGAGGGGTCGCTGTGAGTTGGGTCCGACTCCACAGCAGTGCGGCTTTTATTTGCTTATTTGTTTGCCCAGTGTGGATATGGCCACCCACACCAAGTGCACTGCCCCTAATGCTCCATCAGGGAGCACTTCTGATGCCATTTAACAGGTAGAAGACTGAGCTCCACATAAGGAAGCCAGTTCCCCGAGGTCCCAACAGGACTGGTTCTCCCAGCACCTGGTCCATGGAGGATCCTGCCACACCTGCGTCTAAGAAGGAAGGACCCACTCTGAAGAGAGCCACAGACAAGAGCAGACGAGGGTCCCAGGAGACCGTTGCCGGGAAGGTGAAGAAGAGGCCCCAGCTGGTCACATGTCATAAGTAATGAGGCTGAGATGCTCTTTCCACCGTCCGCCTTCCTCTGGCTTGTTCTTCTGCCGTCGACTCTGCCATCTCCAGCAGGCATGAACCATTGGTGCAATGTCAGCCAGGTTAGTGGACCCTTGGGACAAACACCAAGGACCCGCACACTGGTTCTCCAGCGTGCACAAGGGGAGAGGGGTCACATGGTTGACCCCACACTGGACACATAAGTACCAAGTTCTCGACAGAGAGAGAAACTCAAAAACTCACTGCCGTCAAGTCAGATCCAACTCATAGCGACCCCTCCTTGGGTTTCCGAGGTGGTATCACTACGGAAGTAGATTACCCAACCTTCTTTCTAAGGAGTGGCTGGTGGGTTCGAACCGCCAGCCTTCTGCTTAGCAGTCAAAGGCCTTAGGCAGTATGCCACCAGAGCTCCTGACAGAGACATAGGGAATTTAATTTATTCTAGCAGATGGAGAAACGTATGGGGTTCCTGTGTGGTAATGATGCTGTAGTATCACTAAGAAGTCAGGAGCAGGATGTGAGGCTGTGGACTACCGGCCACTGCTGGTCTCTGCATGCAGATTTGTCCTCTGGATGGACAAACTAGAGGAGAAAGAAAAGTCCCCTTTGGAGGACAATGCTGGGGGGGTGCAGCTTGGCAAGGGCTGATGTCAGCCCTCCTCACCCCCAAAGCACCTTTATGGACAACCTGCCCAAACCAACCTCACACAGAGAGAATCAACACCGAGTTAACTCATTGGGAAGTGGCGTGTCAGTCACTGCAGACCTGCCAGTCAGCTGTCCAGTAGGAAATTAGAACTAAGGACCAGGACTCGGAGGGCTGGAAAATTCAAAGGATCAGAGAAGTCCAAGGATTTGTAAGGATCTGTCTTTGGTCTTGCAAAGAGGGGGGGCCAACATTCCAGGAGAGGGGCAGGAAGTAGCCTGGGCACCAGCCACTGGCGACGGGGGCCGGGGCTGGGTGGGCAGGAAGCCAGCAAGCAGCCTTTGAGGTGGTGGCACCTTTGGGGGTGGTGCCGAGTTATCGCACAGGCCTTTGAAACCAGACTGGGTTTGACACTTCTGCCGTTTCTTTGTTTATTTCCTTTTGTTCCCCTTTAACATTTAGTACAATGCAAAAATATTTTTCTGTGGTTAATATGTGTAGAGAAGGTAAAATTATTATTTTTGTAAATGCCAGCCTGTCTCAGCTGGATGCAGCTGAGTACTGGGGCGAGAACTGGGTTTCAAAGGGGCAGAAGCGTCCTCCTTGTTCCCCACCCTCACCTCCGCCGCCCCGGGTCTCAGGGGCAGCAGCAGGAGGTGGGGACAGGCAGTGTGTGGACCCACCACCCCCTTCCTGGAGGTGACCCTTCCCAAGCTGCTCTCTGCCTTTCCTGGGTGGTTTACCATCCTGTTTAATAAGGAGGCCGAATCTTCAGAGCCCAGTATCACCCCTGTCAGACACTAGACCCTTCATCTTTGCAGACCCAGCATCTACAAAAGTTTCTGAGAATAGTAAAATTCCCCTTTTTCCTAGCCATAGATGTAAAGTCATAGGAAACGTTTAACCCACCCACGGCTATCAAGTCAATTCTGACCCACAGTGACCCTGTAGGACCGAGCAGAACTGCCCCATAGGGTTTCCAAGGATGTAAGTCTTTATGGAAGCAGACTGGCTCATGTTTCTCCCACAGTGCAGCTGGTGGGTTTGAACGGCCAATCTTTTGGTAAGCAACCCAATGCTTTCAGTACTGTGTCATCAGAGTTCTGGGAAAAGTTTAGGCCTGCAATTCAAGAGCAGTTTAAAAAGCTGTGTGACCTGGGACTAGTGGTTTAACCTCTCTGGGCTTCCTGCTCCTTTGACACTGACAGGGGAACCACAGTAATCCCTCTTTCCCAGGTTATTCAGAAGGATTAAAATGCAGGAGGAAAGTGTCTGGCTTGTAAAAGTTTCAGTAAAAAGTGTGTTCTTTCCTCCACCTCCCCCAGACTTCACTTCTTCCAGCCCGGCCTCGAAGCGAAGCGCCAGAACCTCCCCTAGAGGACTGGCACCATCTGAGGACATCCCTGTTTCCTTTTGGCTACAGCCAGATGGGAGTCAAAAACTCAGAGACCCAGAACTGGGACCCAGGGAGCAGGAAGCAAGGCAGTCAGGACCAGCTGCTGTTCAAACAACAGCTGCACTAACCACAGCTATGACAGACGGGACCCAAGTGTGGGGAGCACGGCATCAGGGCTAACTCTCAGGGTCCCTCCTGCCTCCACTAGGGAGCTGGGACTTCTGAGGGGAGGGTGGGCAGGGTGGCCCTTCTCTATCCAGGCAGGCCCCAGGGATCTGAGTTGGAGGGAGGCCAGGCAGGGCGGGCACAAAGCAGGAGCCGCTCTGAGCTGAACCTGGAGGGGGTGGGGGGCTGGTCCCGGCCAGAGGAGAGAGCCGGTCATAGAGGGGAGGGAGGGGAGGCCTTCCAGGCTGTGCTGACCCGGGTCGCTTAGGCTGTGGGTCCTCCTGTCACTCACCCAGTGTCCTGTGGCTTGTACAGCAGCTCACGGGCCCAGTGTCCTGTGGCCTGTATGGCGGCTCAAGGGCCCAGGGCCTCCAGGCCGCCTCTTGCTCCCTGGCCCATGTCTTCGATAATAACTTGTTGCTGGCCCTGACCCCCAGGCCCAGCCAAGGAGGGAGGGAAGGAGGATGGGAGGGATGGCGGGAGGGTGGCGGGAGGGCGGAGGAAGCCCTGAGCTGGCTTCCCATGTCCCCTCCTCCCTCTCCCTCCCCTCCAGCGCTGGCTCTGCAGTGATACAGGGAGCCCAGGATTTCCTCTGCTTAACTCTTTGATGGCCCAATGGCTCTTGTTTGATTCAAAGGCCTAATAAAGTCTGAAGTGGGGGGGATCTGAGGTCTGAGGCCCCTTAGACGGGGAAGTTGAAGCCCACGGGGGGGGGGCAGTGGGCAGGAGTGTTCAGCAAGGGAGAAGCACCATAAGCTGGAACCTCCACTCCTCCTGGGGCCCTCCAGCCTGAGCTGAAGGGTCCTTTCTGAGTCATTGTTGCAGGGCAGGTGGTGGATAGGGCACAGACATGAGGTCTACAGCCCCAGGTTCAAATCCTGCACTTCCACCCACAGCAAGTGACTTGGGCAAGTCACTGCACCTCTCAGAGCCTCTGTGTCTGTAGCGCTCGGCCTCAGCTTCGTCCGTGCCAGGCACATGGAGGGCTTGGAAACGTTCACTGAGTGGTGGCAGGTTTGACCTCCTCCTATGTGCTATCATCTGAGTGTGGCATCCCCTGTGGGAGTTAAGTTTGTGGCTGGGCCTGGGTGAGTGGCTGGGCAGCTGGAAACAGTTAATCCCCATGGTAAGACTGGTAATTAACTCCATGGTGGAATGTATTGGAGCAGTTGAGTAGCTGCTTTAGAAATGTGGTTTGCTTCCCGTATGTAAGAAACAGCTTCGGGAATGGTCTCTAGTTATGGCACGCTTGAATCCTGCGTGTAGCTGTGTCGTTGTTCAGCAGCCTGCCATGCTCTGCTGACCTTGAGACTTACAACGGCCTTGAATTAATGGCCTGCTGTGTGGTTTGGTAACATCGGGACTGTGTCACTTATTTGTTGACCTTGGGCTTGTCAGCCTCAGCAGCCAGTAGCTGCCTGAGTGAAGAGATGCCTCCAGCTTCAGTGGGCCGGGAGCAGGAGGCAGAGCTGAAGCCGAAGGTGAAGGGGCTTTCACGCAGCCCCTAGAGCCTGGCACTTTGAACTCAGACTTAAAGCCTCTAAACTGTAAGAGAATAAACTCCTGTTTGTTAAAAGCCATCCCACTTGTGGTATTTTCTGTCAGAGTGGCACTAGGTAACTGAAACATCCCCCAAACCCAAAGAAGCCAAACCAGTTGCCATGGAGTCAAGTCCAACTCACAGCAACCCCACGTGTGTCAGAGCAGAACGGCAGTGACCTTTCAGAAGCAGACTGCCAGGCCTCTCTTCGGAGGTGTCTCTGGGATGGGTTCAAACCGCCAGCCTTTGGGTCAGTGACAAAGAGCTTAACTGTTTGAGTCACCAGGGACCCCCACCTCCAATACACTCCAGAGTCTTCCTCGTCTACTTGGGATTCTGCCATTATTGTTCATTTCCTGGTCTTCTCAGGACCAACCCCAAGTTCATAGGGGCACAGCCTTGGGCCCCTGGGTCTGGGCAGCGTTCTGTCTCAGTTTCCTTCTGGATAGGCTGGGAAGTCCCAGCCTTGGTTCTCTGCCATGTGACCTGGCTTCTCAGGGTCAGAGACCCCTGAACAAGACGTCTCCAGTGTCCCCGGCCCTTGCCCGTTCCTCTATTCTGTTTGCTGAGTACTTACTGCCTGGGCGAGGCCACAGCTCTCTTGTGGCTTTTGGTAGGAATCTGAAGGGTATTTTCAGCTATTTTGAGTTCTCCTCCCCCAGCCTTGGGAAAGGGACTGGTCAGGAGTCTGAGGCCACACAGCCAGTGAGGAGGAGCCCACAGCCGGCCCCAAGCAGAGATGCTCCCTGTCCCACCAGGGTTCCCACGATGGCCTGCTAGGTGTGGGTGAGGGGCCAAGGCAGTTCAAGGCTCTGTCCCTGGGAAGAGGGAGGTGGTGACATCCTTGGCCTTGGAGGCAAGGGAATACAGAGACCTGAGGGGGGGGGCGGTGTCTGAGTCAGGGGCTTTGGGTTAACCCCAGTCCTCACTCACATCTGGGTGCACTGTGGAGGATGGAACAGCCCCTAGGCTCTGTGTCCTTGGCCTGGCCTTGTCTCTGGGCCTCAGTTGTCCTTGTTGTTTTGGGGACAATCCGAGAGCAGAACATCAGGCTTGGCAGGGCTCTAGGAGATGACCTAATCCCATTCCTTCACTTCCCCACCTGGAAGACTAGAGCCCCGAGAGTTCAAGTTTTCTGTTCAAGGTCACAGAGCAGACTAGACCGGGCTCTCCCAACGACTTCCAGCCGTGTGCTTTTGCTACCCCTAAGCACACTTGGTTAGGAGTTCAGGGGAATCAAAGAAAAACAGGCCGAAAGACTCTGGCCACTGGGAACTTGGCAGGCCCACGCTGGCCCTGCCCTCTGTGTGGCCCTGCCCCAGGCAGCATTCCCAGGGCACAGAGCCAGGGCTGCAGAGGGAGGGAGCACGGAGAGCCATCCTCCACACTGACACCACCGAGGGAAAGGGCTGAGTCAGCAGCACTGGGGGGGCACCTCCAAGAGGGGGCTCTCGGCTGCCTGGGAATGAGAAAGTCTGAATGTCAAAGGAAGATTCCACAGAGAAAGGGAGAGAGGGAGAGAGAGAGGTGGATGGGGGTGGGGAGAAGCAGGCTGGGGACAGAGGGGACACAGGAGTGTTTTGCAGAGCGCCAACTGTATACCCAGCACTGTATACAAATGGCCACTCTCAACAAGCCCTCTTGAGGGCAGGCTGCTCTCCCATTTTACAGACGAGGAGGCTGAGGGCTGGAGAGACATGTGACTTGCCCAGGTCCTAGGACCCAGTCCTTTGGCTCCCAGCCACACTGATGCCCCAGAGAAGGGTCCCTTGTTCCCTGTGGTCCAGGGCAGCGGGCTGGGGCAGGGCAGACCAAAGAGCAGGTCTCAGAAATATCACATCAGTCGTTTTCCTCTCTCTCTCTTCCACCATGCCTGAAACTGCTCCATTTGTGAGTCACTCCTTGGTTTCCCGGCCATCCCTAGGACCTCCCCAGCTGGCTAGGTGGTGTGGAAACAGACCTCAGGCCTGGGGCAGGATAACCTGGGTATGTCTCGGCTCTGCCTTCTCCTAGCTGTGTGACTTTGGGCACGTATCCCTACCTCTCTGAGCCTCAGTGGTCCTGGGCCAGATGAATACGAAGAGGCCAAGACCATCTGAGCCACAGGGTGGTTCACTCAATGGGGGTGCTCCGTCAGCACTTTCTCTGGTTGAACTCTGGATGGATGAGGGCATGTGCCCATTCTCCTGACACATACCCCCACCTGGGAGCCCTGGGGACAATGACAACAGCATGGCCCAGAGCCCAGGACACGTGCATTCATCAGCTGTAATAACTCCATTGGCAAAGAAGTAACCCAAATGCAGATGGGCTGAGCTCTTGTCACCAAGCTAGGAACTCAGGGTATGAACCAAGTGTTCCCAGCCAGCCCGTCCTTCCCTCTGCTTACAGACAGCTTTTTCTCTGTACTTGTCTCATTTGAGAGCTTTGCACGTGTCAACTCATCTCATCCTCCTCCCAGCCTTCTGAGGTTGGCACTGTTATCATCCCCATTTCACAGAAAAGAAAGGTGAGGCACAGACTCACTGACACTCAGAACCAAGCTCTTAGCCAAGACCCTCCATTGTGTGGCCCAAGTGACAGCAAGGGTTGGGGGTAGGTGTAAAAATAGGGACATTTAGGCAAAGCTTATAAAGAACCAGGAGCCTTTCTCTGTGCTTCATACATTTAAAAACTAAAATGTGCACCTGTCAAAAAAATGTGATAGAACAGAAAACAATGATTTCCTGGAATCAGCTACCAAAGGCGTGAATCCCAAGTATGTTATTGTTGTTGTTATGTGCCGTCGAGTCGGCCCCAACTCATAGCGACCCCTTCTTGGGTTTCCAAGGCGGTATCACTACGGAAGTAGATTGCCCAACCTTCCTTCCGAGGAGTGGCTGGTGGGTATGATCCTCTAGCCTTCTGGTTAGCAGTCAAATGCCTTAGGCACTACACCACCAGAGCTCCCGTGCCAGCCTCACAATCCTTGCTACACCTGAGCCCACTGTTGCAGCCACTGTGTCAATCCATCTCCTTGAGGGCCTGACCCTCCGCTTTACTAAGTACATTATCCTTCTCCAGTTAATGGTCCCTTCTGACAACATGACCAAAGTATTTAAGACAAAACCTGGCCATTCTCACTTTCAAGGAGCATTCCGGCTGCACTTCTTCCAGGACAGATTTGTTCTTTCTTCTGGCGGTCCATGGTACTTTCAGCATTCTTCACCAACACCGTAACTCAAACGCATCAACTCTTCTTCAGTCTTCTTTATTCATTGTCCAGCTTTCACACGCATATAAGGTGATTGCAAACACCATGGCTTGCTTGGGTTAGTCTTCAAAGACACAACTTTGCTCTTCATCACTTTAAAGAGGTCTTTTGCAGCAGATTTGCCCAGTGCAATGCATCTTCTGATATCTTGACTACTGCTTCCATTGGTGAATCCCAAATACAGCTTTCATCGACTAATGAAGAAAGTAAACAAAAGAAAATGTGAGCGCCCCTGCTACAAAGAACCAGGAGCCCAGCAGCCTGTTCCTCTCCCAACCTGCCCCACCCACTTCTAAGGAAGGTAAGGGAATTGGAGAGGGGAAGGAGGAAGATGAAGGGCCCTCCTGAGATGCCCAAGGCCTGGCTGGGGTGCCGCCTCCAAAACCCAGTGGCCCAATGGGATTCTCCCTCTCCTAAGCAGCTTCCGGGCTTCCTGCTACTGGGGGAGCCCAGATCTGGTTCTTCTCGGCCCTTCCACTGACCAGCTGGGTGGCCCTGGGTACACTTCACTCTCTGGACTCCTTTTCTCCATCCCCGGCTTTCAGCCCAGTGTTAGTCGGAGTCAGGGGAGTTTAATCCCATTTAACAGAAGTGGAAACTGAGTGCCCAACAGGCCCAGAGAATTAGCCAGCACCATTCTGGGCTCTCTGCACCCGGACAAACAAACATACTCACTCTCGGGGAGTCAGTCTTGACTCATAGTGACCCCTCCTTGGGTTTCTGGGGCAGTATCACTACGGAAGTAGATTGCCCAACCTTCCTTCCGAGGAGTGGCTGATGGGTTTGAACCCCCAGCCTGCTGGTTAGTAAAGTGCCTTACGCACTAGGCCACCAGAGCACCCCCCTTACAAGGCACCTGCCAGCTGTTGAGGAGGAGGAAACTGATGTTCAGGGAGCCTGAGGGGCAGTAATGGGTTCCCACCCCACGGTCAGCTAATGGCAGAGCCAGGGCAATGGGGTCCCTAACCTCTCCCCCTTTGGAAAGGAGGTAGTAGGTAAGCCCTCTCCCATGCCCACGGAGCCTCTTCCATGCCCACCTCCAATTTTCGGCAGCACAGCTGGGGGGTGGCGGGGAGGGCAGGGGCCTGGGTGAAGGCTGCGGTGAGATTCTGCTCATGTCTCCCGGCCTCCATCAGGAAAGCCCGGGAAGGCGGGAAGGGGCCGCTGGGCCGGGGAGGGGCCTCTGCTGGTCCAGAACGGAGGAGAAAACCAAAAAACCAGACCCACTGCCGTGGAGTGGATTCGGGCTCAGATCGACTCTGTAACATACAGCAGAGAGTACCCCCACAGGACTCCCAAGGCTGTTAAGTCTTTATGCAGACTGCCATGTCCTTCTCCAAAGAGCAAACGGTGGACCTTCCGGTTTGTGTCCAAGCGCTTTAATCACTCTGCTACCAAGGATACGGAGAGGAGCAGAGTAAAATCAAACAAGAACTCGTTTGTCAGAGCAGAGCCGAGCGCAGCCAAACGCGGCCTAGCAGAGCCAAGCTGACCGCGTCTATCGTATCCAACCGAACGTGACCGAGTCTGGCCGAATAGAGCCGAGTCGCGCCGAGCGGAGAGGCCTGGGCGGGCGGGCCGCCACGCGAAGATGGGCGAGGCTTGAGAGTCCCACGGCGCCCTCTGCCGGACAGAGAGAGCACAGCGCTGGCCTCAGCCCGAGGCGCTTGCTGCCTCCCAGTCCTCCAGCATCTCCGTGAGACAGGAGTGTGAAGCCTGTTTTGCTTGAGTCTCTGAGAGTTTCCGAGGCGGGCCCAAAGTTACTCAGAGCTAAGAAGTGATGCAGCTGGGGTTGGAACCTAATTGTGTGACCTAGAGCTCACCTGCTACTGCCACTCCTGTAATTGCTTGCTTTGATCTCCCTAAAGGAGTTGTCAATTATTATGGCCAGGAGGGAAGGAGAAAACCCTCTCCCCTCTGGCTAGAGTTCCAGACGGTTGCTTCGCTGGCAGATGGAAAAACTGGGCTGGCTGTGGGGCCCCGCCGGCCTGGGTCTGATGACCGAGTGCAGCAGGGCCAGCCGTTCCATGAACAAATATTGACATATTTTCTGGTCATTAAAGCGGATGGCAGGGCTGAGTAGGCATATCCTTGCCCTTCCCTTGGGGGGGGGGTGTCCACTAGACTCTGGCTCTGTTATACCCTGTCACCCTAGGCCTCAGTTTCTCCACCTGTCACAAGATGGGCTCCTGGCAGCCTATGGGGTTTGTTCCAGGGTGTGTGAGCCAAGACCTGAGAGTCTGGGATTCTGGAGGACACCAGGAGTGGCCCTGGCACTTCTCTGAGCCTGGGAGAAGGTGACGCCTTGCCCTCCACACACACGTGTGTAGGCGTGTACACCTGTCATTCCTCCCCTGTGCACACCACCCTGAACTGCCAGACCTATGGGGCCTGGGCTGCCCCTGAGGCCTGTCCTGTCTAATGGAGCAGCCACCAGGGAGCTGGCACCAGTGGCTCTGCCCCCAGCATCACTCCCTTCCACTCAGGTCCCTCAAACACACTTTACATTTGCAGAAGTTTTAAAAGCTATGGACACTGGACCAGGGCCTGGGGAACTGGAGATCTCGTCCTATTCCTGGTATGATCCTGGGCAAGTCACATGACCGTCCCGGGCTCAGTGTCCTTAACTGTAAAGTGGTTATCAGAGCTGTTCTCTGGGCCTTGGAGAGCTTTCCACACCCCCTTTCCCTGTGGACGACCTCTTTGGAGAGACTTCTATGTGGACGACCTCTTTGGAGAGACTTCTATCCCCCCAGGGGCTGATTCTTGCTTCTCTTGAAAGCTCTTGTGTTTATTTAACACTTACCCAGCACCTACGATGCCCCACGCATGTCCTAAGATGTTTGCAAAACTAACAAGTTTAAACCTTTAACAGTAAGGACCTTTGCTATCATCCTCATCTTAAAGAGGAGGAAACTAAGGAACAGAGAGGTTAATTAAGTGAGCCAACAGCAAACAGCCAGTGAGTGGAGGAGGTGGTATTCAAGCCCAAGCAGTCCAGAGTCCATGTGCTTAGGAACTACCATATTACCTCTTGTCTTTGCTGCAACTTCCTTGGTTATACTTCTCCGTCCTCTGCTTTTTGCAACTGACCAAAACAAAACAAAAACCTATTGCCATCAAGTTAATTTCAACTCATAGCAACCATACAGGACAGAGTAGAACTGGCCCTGGGGTTTCCTAGACTGTAATCTTTACGGGGAGGAGCTCTGGTGATGTAGTAGTTAAAGCATTTGGCTGCTAACCAAAAGATCGGTGGTTCAAACCCACTAGCTGCTCCACGGAAGAAAGATGAAGCAATCTGCTTCCATAAAGATTTACAGCCTTGGAAACCCAATGGGGTCACTATGAGTTGTTGGCAGTGAGTTTGTTTGTTTTAATCTTTATGAGAAGCCAACTGGCTCGTCTTTCCCCTGTGGAGCTGGTGGATTCAAACCACTGACCTTTTGGTTAGCAGCTGCCAACTTTTAGCAACCAAGCGCTTAACCACTGTGCGACCAGTGCTCCTTGAGAGTAGAGCCACCCCATAGGGTTTCCAAGGCTGTAATCTTTATGGGAGCAGACTGCCGCATCTTTCTCCCAAGGAGCCGTTGGTGGGTTCAAACTGCTCACTTTTCAGTTATCAGCCAAGCGCTTAACCACAGCACCACCGTGGCTCCTTTTGCAGGTGGCAGCCGCCCATGAAACGCGAGAATGAACAATAGGCCTAGTTCATCCCACAGGCCCCCTGGAGACCCTGCAGTTGTTGTTGTTATGTGCCCTAGAGTCAAACCCGACTCATAGCGACCCCTCCTTGGGTTTCCGAGGCAGTATCACTATGGAAGTAGGATTGCCCAACCTTCCTTCCGAGGAGTGGCTGGTGGGTTTGAACCGCCAGCCATCTGGTTAGCAGGCAAGTGTCTTAGCCACTATGCTACCAGAGGCAGGCTTTTTGCTCGCTTTTGCAGGAAGGGACCCAGCCTGTAGAAAGCGCTGTAGGCCCAGCCTCTGCCCGTCTCTGGCCTCACGTGAACCCTTCTCCACTTCATTGACTGCCTTCCTCCAGCCTCCAGGCCTTTGCACACACAGTCCCTCCGCCTGGCACGCTCACGCCCAACCTTCTGCTCTCAGGGTGGCACACCCACCCACCTGTGAACAAATGGCTGTCAGACTGGCTCTGAATTGCGATGATTCCAGGTGGGTCGGAGTGGCACTGTGCTCCACGGGGATTCCAGTGGCTGGTTTTTCAGAAATAGATTGCCAGGCCTTTCTACCAAGGCACCTCTGGGAGGACTCAAACGTCTCCAACGTTTCGGTTAGTACAAGTGTGTTAACCATTTGCACCACCCAGGGCCACCCCTACAGACACCACCATGATTCTCTCCCAGAACACGCCATTGTCCTCCATGCCCCCAGCTCAGTGGGTGAGGACACGTTCATTCGTCGTGCTTGTGAGCACAGAGCGCTCAGGTCCAACGTCTGTTTGCCTCCATACAACCCCAGCCCAGCGCCAGGGCCAGGCACACAGCGATATGAACAAAGAAAATGTGTTAACTAAATTAACTGCCCAGAGAAGTGAAGGAAATGGATCAGGGCCACACAGCAGGATCTGACACAGTGGGTCTAGGGCTCAGGCCTTTTGAGTTTGGGCCCCATGGCTTTTTTTTTTTTTTTTTTTTAATTGTGATTTGGGTGAAACTTTACAGACCAAATTCATTTCCATACAGCAGTTCATACACATTTTGTTCCATGACATTGACCACAATTCCCCACAAAGTAACAGCTCTCTTCCCACTTCCTCCCTGTGGTTACCTCTTCCCGGTGTCCTTCTTTCCTATGCATTTCTACCCCCTGCGCTGTCTCCCTGTGCAAACACTGGCCTTCTGTTCTCCCATGGTTGATTATTCTAAGGAGTGTATCTACCTGGTGTAAATGTTCACCCCATATGCCCATCTGTTGTATGGCTGGAAGCCACGGGAGTGAGTTCAATTCCAGGCCTGAACAAGTAACTAGGGGCCATAGTCTCAGGGGTCTCACCAGGCTCGATCAGACCAGTAAATCTGGTCCTTTTTATGATTTTGAGTTTTGTTCCACATTGTTCTCCCACTCAACACATGATCTCCTGCATTGTGGGCCCTGTGACTTTTAGGGGAGACATTTCCCCCACAATCCTCGGGAAAACTCACGGAGATTCTGCCAGCAACAGGAAGCAGTCTGAGGCCCGCACAGGACCATGGCCCAACACAACTGCAGGGGGCACCCTCACATCACAGCCTGAGGCTCATGCCTCCTTCAGCAAGTTTTCTTCTGTGTCTGGAGTCCCGTGGAGCCCGGGCTGTCACCTCCACATGGGACAGTGGCCTCCCTTCCAGCTGAGGAGGGGGCCAAAGCCCTAGAGGCCTCCCCAAGCCCTGCGACTCCTAGCTCCTCTCCATTGATGCTGATGCATGAAGTTCTGGTCCAGAGCTGAGTGGCCATGGGCTGTTGCCTGGCAACTGCCTCTGAGAGGTAAGTTCAAGGTAAGGGCTTGGGTCTGAGCAGCAGAGATGGCTAGAGAAGAGGAAGCAGGGGTCATCACTTCCCCCCCTCCCTGCTCAGGCTCACCCTGCAGGCCCTGGGGCCACATAATCCAGATTTCAGCCTTGAACACCATACAAGCTCCTCTGTCCGTCTTGTCTCACTAACACTTCCCCACATACTTATGCACTTATTTTTTCAGGGCAACACATTGCATAGTCCCAAAGAGGGCTAGAAAGGCGTGGCAGTGTGGCTGGGCAGTTGTGGTAGTTAAGTTGTGTGTCAGCTCATCTGGACCTGGTTTTGACTGGCTGGGCAGCTGGTTGTAGTTATTTCCCATGATGTGATTGGTAATCAACCCCATGGTAGAATCTACCGGAGGAGCTGAGTACTTGCTTTAGGGATGTGGTTTACTCTCAGTGTATAAGGAGACATTTTGAGAAAGGTCTCTGCAGCTTTTTGCCACGCTTGGGCCCTACCTGTAGCCGAGTCTTCATTCAGCAGCCTGCCATGTTTCCTGCCGATCTTGAGACTGTCTCTGGACTAGAACTAGTGGCCTGCCATGTTGTTTGGTAATATTGGGATTGTGCCATTTTATTTGTTGACCTTGAGCTTGTCAGCCTCAGCAGCCAGCTGCTGCCTGAGTGAAGAGACGCCTCCAGCTCCAGTGGGCCGGGAGTACGAGACAGAGCTGAAGCCCAAGGCGGACAGGCTTTCACCCAGCCCCTAGAGCTGGCACTTTGGAAATCAGCCTCCTAGCCTCCTAAACTGTAAGAGAATAAACTTGTGTTTGTTGAAACCACCCATTTGAGGTATTTCTGTCAGAGTGGCGCGGTAACCAAAACACTAGTTAAGGGCGCAGAAACCGACACCAGACGCCTGGGTTCAAATCCTCACTGTGCCCCTTAGGTGTAACCCTGAGCAAGTTACTCAACCTCTCTATGCCTCAGGGTCCTGTCTTTAAAATGAAAATAACGAGACTAATTAAATAAGCTGGTCGCGTTAAACACCTTCATTCAAAGGGATCACAATAGGAGATCCCGGACAGAGTGGGAGAAATGTGTGGAACAAAACTCAGAATCATCTAAAAGACAGACCTTACTGGTCTGATAGAGACTGGTGGGACCCAGGGGCTGGGGTCCTTAGTCCACCTTCAAGCCCAGAAATGAACTCACCCAGGGCTCAACTCTCAGCCAAAAACAGACAGACTGTAAGGTGAACTATAACCCCTGGGAGGAACACACTCCTTAGAACAATCAACCGCAGGAGACTGAAAGGGCAGCATTTCCGGAATAGAGCTCAGAAGGCAGGAAGGGAGAGGAAAGAGAGCTAAAGGGAAGTGGTAAACACAGGGAAGAGTGGGAAGAGTGCTGTTACATTGGGGGATTACAGTCAACGTCAAGAAACAAAATGTGTATGAATTATTGAATGGGCAACAAATTTGCTCTGCTACCTTTCACTTACATCACAATAAAAAGCTTCATCCAGGGCCTGACACAAAGAGTGCCAGGTCCCCGCAGCTGGTGCCCGGAGTTATGACAGGCAACTGCCCCCCTCCCTTCGTTCATTTATTCAGAATCCACAGAGGCGCTGGCAGCCCCTGGAACACAGAAGGCATTGTCCCTGTTCTGGGAGGGACAGGGCTAGAGGGACACTCACAACATGTGACAGTACACATAGGCAGTGACACCAGTGTGGTGGGGAAGCCTGGAGGCTGCGGGGGCCAGAGGCGGAGCTCTGGCGGCCACTCAGTGCAACACCGGGCCTCCGGCAATCTCTCTCTCTTACCCCATGCACCCCTACTGCCTGCACAGCAGGCCCCTCAACGTTAACATCCCCAACACACATTCACTCCTGGACCCTGCTGAGATGTCCTGAGTGCCTACTAAGTGCCCTGCACCGCACTCACAAACCTTCACACACACACACATGATCACAGCCAGCAAAAGCAGCCACACACAGTGAACAGCGCATCCAGACTGCTGTGGCCACTGCCTGGCCCACCTCTCCTTGCCGTTGGTAGTCTGCCCCTTACACACCCTGGTACCCCACTGGTCAGGCCAGACTCTTCACCACAGTGTCTACTTTACACCTGGCTGGAAAGATAGGCTGCACTGTGGCCAATCATAGCACCTTATGCCTTTGGTAATTGGCCCAAGAGGTAATCACATGACCCAGTCAGGGCCAATCAGCTCCTTCCATGAGATTTGCTATGTGGACACAGAGAGAAAGAGAGAGAGAGAGGGAGAGAGATCTACTGCTTTGGGATTGAGATCTGTAAGGATGTGGGCTAAGAGCTGCCAGGGGGTCTTCCCTGGGAAGACCCAGACTCTGAGACCACACACAAAGAGGCCAGTGCACACACCAGCATGTCCACACTCAGCCAAATAACCAGCCTCCTGCAGACCAAAGGCCTATCCATAGTGCACTGGTATGTGCTGCCATCTTTATTGACGAGAGCTAGAGGCAGAAGCAGCAAAGGGTTTCCCCAATCACCTTCCCCAGCCACACTTACAGAACAGTGCCCACCTGCCCCCCACCTTGGCGGCCAGAGGCAGAGAGGCTCACTAGATGAAGGAGAGGGAGTTGTAGGGGGGCATCTCCACTTTATAATTTGGTCCACCCCATCCCTGACCCATTGAGGTGAACTTGGCAGTATACCCAGCATTGTCCTCCCCAGATCTCAACAGGCAGGCAACCTGGGAACATCCATCTCCATTTTATGATGGGGAAACTGAGGCCAGGAGCAGTCAAGGCTGGCCAAGGATCATGGGGTGGGCTGAATATCCATGAGGTCTCCCTGCATCTGGTTCACATGCTTTCCCTGAGGACCCCCTACCCTCTGCGGGGGTGGGGAAAACAGTCTAGCCAGAGGGGCCACCCTCCCCAGCACCAGCCTCCCTGTAGATCTAAGGGGTCATTTCTGGGGAGGGAGTCAGGCTAGACAGCAGCCTCTCCCTTGTCTTCCCTGGACCCCCAGGAACACAGAGGATGGAAGACCCATTGCCCCATCCATCACTTTTCCCAACCTCGGGGCCTGCTTCTTAGCTCTGGCCCCAGGGCCTCCACCAAGGCCAATCCCTTCTCACCCCCACTGAGGGACCCCTCAACGGGACTTCCCTGTATGTTTCAGAGTGGCTGCTGAATTCCCACTCTTGATGGCATCCCTTCCTTGGGACTGGTCGGGCCAGGCATCAGGGGCCCCATTTCACAGATGCTGTAACTGGGCTCAGCCCAGGGGATCAAGGTTGGCTCCAAGGTCAAGGGGCAGATCTCTCTTCCTAGTCCTCCTTCCTCTCCCTCCTCCTCCTCCTCACAGTGCTGTTTTAGACATGTCTGCCTCTCCAGGTATACCAGCCAGCCTGCGTGTGTGTGCGTGCATGTGTGTGTGTGTGTGTGTGTTTTGACTTCCTGTCTTGGTCTCTGGGAGGATGGACAATAGATCACAGTGGGGTAGGGGATAGGTTGGGGGTGGGGTGGAAACAGGGCTGATATCTCCTAAGAGGAAGTACCTGGAACCCTCAAAGACCTGGGGATATGCCAGCCCCAACTTCAGGACTTGAAGTGAGTTGCTTTGGGTTGAGCCAGGCTTTCTGTGGTATAAACATATACAATTCAGAGGCCTCCTTTATAAGAGAAGGAGTACACTATGACAAGTGCAAACTGAAGTGCAGGGCCTCAGAAGAGCCTATGCAGTAAGGAGCCCTGAAGCTCCACTCAACTTCTTGGAAAACTCCTGTTTGGTCACGATGTCCAGGATCACTGAGTCTACACTAACCGTCTGGATCAAAAGGGCCTGGAGGGTTGTCCAGCGGGTGAGGCTCTGAGATCCAGAGAGGCAAAAGCTGGCACAAGGCCATACCACCCACAGGACAGAAGTGATCTGCCCCACCTGCTCCTGCCCACCAGGTGAGACTTCCTTCTACGTGGGGCTCCAGTCCAGACCCTGACTCCAAATCCAGGCCCTGCTCCATCCCTCTGTGGGCCGTTCCCCGGGGATGCTCCAAGTCCGGGAGAGCTGGGGAGGGTCAGAGTGTCCCGTCCCCATCATCTGGGCCCCACTCAGGAAGGTAGCCCAGCAGTGAAGTCCTTCCAGACCTCTCACTGGTCAGATCTCATCAGGGCCAGTTACCCTGTCCCTGGGTCACAAAGGAGAAAGCGAGGCCCAGAGAGAGGCTGCGACCTACCCAAGATCACACAGCAAATCTCGGCAGCACTGGGATCAGAACCCAGGCCTTGGAACATTTCCCGGTGAGCCTCGGGTGGCGTGCGTGGGCATGCGCACAGTTTTGCCCCTCCCTGGGCCTCCCGGGGCCCCTACAGATAGCTGATGCGCAGCCCGCTGGATTTCTCCCCAAGAGAGGGTTCTTGGGGCAGAAGCTGCTGTTCCTTACCGCCGGCGCCGCTGGGTGGCGGGTCCTGCGCGCTCGTGCCAGGCTGGGTGATCTGGCTGACAGGGCCATTCACCTCCTTCCCCTCCCCCTGCTTCTCTGCCCCCTCCCCCCCGCCCTCGTCTCCGTCCTCCTCCCCGTCCCCCTCCTCCGTCTTCTCCGGGGGTCCTGCCTCGGGCTCCTGGCTGCGCACGCGGCGGGAGGGCCGCAGCAGGACCCTGCGGAAGCCCTGCTTGAAGCGGTAGGAGAGGAAGCCGTACAGGATGGGGTTAGCACAGCTGTTGGCGTAGGGCAGCGCCACCACGAGGAAGTAGAGACCGAAGAACGCGGGCTCCTCCGGCAGCGGGCACACCACGTTGACGATGTTGAGCACGTAGAAGGGCATCCAGCAGAGGACAAAAAGCACCACCACGGCCACGACCATGCGCGTGACCCTGCGCTCGGAGCGCCGCCGCTCACACGAAGGCGCCCACACCCGCCGGCCGGCCGAGCGCACCTTCACCAGGATGAGCAGGTAGCAGAGGCAGATGACGAGCAGCGGTCCGAAGAAGCCCAGGGCGGCCGTGTAGATGATGAAGCCGGCCCGCCAGGCTGCCGCCGGCTCGGGCCACTGCATGTGGCAGGTGCTCATGCCACGGGGCACGCCCGAGAAGACCACCACGGGCAGCACCACCACGGCGGAGGCCACCCAGACGGCCGCGCTGACCGTGCGGGCCACGGGGGCCGTGCGCCAGCGGGCCGAGCGGGTGGGGTGCACCACCGCCAGGTAGCGGTCCACACTCATGACGGTGAGACAGAAGATGCTGGTGAACTGATTGATGCCGTCCACGGCCATGACCAGGCGGCACATAAGGGAGCCGAAGGGCCAGTAGGACAGGGCGTTCTGGGCAGCCAGGAAGGGCAGCCCTAGCATGAAGAGCTCATCAGCCAGTGCCAGGTTGAGGATGTAGACATTGGTGACCGATGGGCTGGCCGTGTGCCGCAGGACCACATAGATGACCAGCGAGTTACCCAGGAGCCCCACCACACACACCACCAGGTAGACCAAGGGGATCAGAATGCCACTGACGGCCAGCCCTGCTGGGCTTGGGCCCCCAGACCTGTTCCCTGTGACGGCATTCAGGGGCCAGGCTGAGGAGGTGTTCCCGGGTTCCGAGGTGGTGGGCCCCGGTGGAGAGTAGCCAAAGGTGTCCATGGCCAGGGGAGGGCAGTCAGCAGTCAGCTACTGGCCTGGAAGAGGGAAGGACACAGCCGGTCATCACAGAGGATGGATTCTCTCTGCTGCCCCTTCCCCCATGACACTGAACTTGGAGACCTGCTGTGCACCAGGTCACAGCTTGACAGGCACCATCTTGTCCACTGTGCCCAGCCCTGCAGGGTAGTTGGGAGTGGTCATTTCTCAGACAAGGAAACAGCGTCAGAGAGATGGAGTGACCTGCCCACTATCACACAGGCAGGGGGTGGAGTGGAGCGTGAGCTTGCTCCAAAGGCCAGGGGACAGTGCTGGCTTGGCCCCCCACTGTGTCCCTTTGGCTGTGTGCATGGTAAGTCCTCCATACACATGAAGTAAAGGAATGGGTGAATCCTTCCATTTGTCTATGACAACACATCTTTCCTCTATACCAGTGGTTTTTGAACCTTTTTGACCCAATGCACAGTAAGAAATGCATTTTGTGTTGCAACCCAATGAAGGCGTATTGTTTCATAAAACAACACTGAGCCTTTTGACATATGAGGACCCAGCCAGCAGAGCCAGTGAATGGATTGCACTGCCCACCAATGGGTCTCACTCTCAAAGTTGAAAACCACTACTTCACATCACAGTCTTTAACCTTGAACTTGGGTCCCTAGATGAACTTCAGAGAGCCATGAACCTCCAATGTTATAGGTGCAGGTGAATGTATCTGTGTCTTTTCCAGACAGAGTTCAGAGCTCTCATCAGATTCTGATGGGGTTTAGAACCACGGGCTCAGGGCTGTCCATTCCCCCAGAAGTCAGAGCCCTTGGGAACCCCCTTGCCCCAGCCCATGGCACGGTGCCCCCTTCCACCAGGCACAAAGGCCCTGCCTGGGGATGGTTAGCTGGGAACTGCGGTGGGGTGGGGTGTGGAAGGTACGGGTAGCTGAGGCCACTCTTCCCCAGAGGCCAACTTGTGATGGGCACATTGACAATACACTTGACAAGTGCTACCATGGGGCCATGTCCAAGAATAGCTACCTCCACCTGGGCTGGAGGGGAGGGTTTCCCAGGGAAGAGGACATTTCAGATGGGTCTTGAAGCATGAGTAGGAGCTTACCCTAGGGACACATTGGGAGCCAGAACCCTTGTTTCCTTTCCTTTCTTAGCACATCCCCTTGGTATTGTAAGTAGCTGGGACTCCTCTTAGGTCCTTCAGTGTAGAGACTCTTATTCACCTTTGACTTTTACCCCTAATTCACTCATCTGTCACTTGTCACTTTCGCACACAGCACAAGCTCTGCATCAATATCTGTGGCATCACGTGGCTCCAAAGGGAGCCTGGAGTGGACTAGCCAAAAAGAAGGAATTGCCCATAGTGGGTGGAATTCCGGGGGCCACTGAGAAAGGGCAGCAGAATCTGCTCACCTCCCTCAACAGGACTTCCTGGTCTGGGGAGGCCCGTCAGAGGCCAAGGCTGAAGCTGGCGCCTCCTCTGGGGCCTTGACCTTCCCCCCCACCCCTTCTTCCCATTTTCCCCAGGTCCTATCCCTTGGCACCAGTCAACCTATGGGGCAAGAAACCCTGAGTGACAAACTGTTAGGGGAGAAGCTCCCCCTCCAGTGTCTCCCGCTGACCCAACCCCGAGACTGAAAGTCCCTCCAGCGGGATTGGTCGGTCTGCATTGCCCTCCTGGGACACCACTTTTGAGATGCAGAGCTCCTGGGAGAGGGAGATGCCCCCTCTGCAAGCAACCACCTGGGGTAAGCCGCAAGCTCAACCACCATGAGCTTGCCAGGCTGCCATGTCCCTGGACCTGGGGCTGCCTGGAGCTCAGCTGCCTGCCCAACGAGGCTAAGGGTGACACCGAGCCCCCATGGCTGATGATCTCCCTGGGCTGGCTGGACTCGGAACACCCCCTTCCTGCTCTGAGGCTGGGAGAGGAGACAGGGCTGTGAGCCTTGGGGGAGCCCCTCAACCTATCCTCAACCCATCCCTCACCCCGGTCCCTCATCAGCTCTTCTGAGCCTGGGGCAGTGGCAATAACAGAGGTGTCTCAGGCTGGGTTAGAACTGATGTCAACACACATGGAGATCTCCAAGAACACAGGCCCATAGAGAATGACAAGGAAGGGAACAAGGATTTTCCCCCAGATCAGACGAAGGGAGAAAGCCTTCCTCTGGAGCCAGCCCCCTGAATTCGGGCTTCTAGCCTCCCAAATGGTGAGAGAATAAATTTCAGTTTGCTAAAGCTGCCCACGTGTGCTATTTCTGTTACGGCAACACTAGATCACTCACACAGAAGGGGATACCCCTGGATAGTACAAATGGTTGGTATATTCTGCTGTTAACTGAAAGGTTGGTGGTTCGAATCCACCTCGAGGCATTTTGGAAAAAAAAAAGGACCTGGAGATCTGCTTTTGGAAAATCCTATGTTCAGTTCTAGTCTGACACGCGTGGAGTGGCCGTGAGTCAGAGTCGACTTGCCCACAACGATCGTGTGTGTTTCTATCAGTGTGGACGGAGGACTCAGGATTTTAATCATGCACCAGCCCTCCTGCACTGAGCCCCAGCTGTGCCAGGTGCATCGCTAAGCCAGTGACGTGTCCTGTAGGGGAGGCACTATTGTCATTCCCACCGTACAGAGGAGACGTGCAGGTGAGGCCACGCTCCGGTCACCAGGAAGAGGCCAAGCTGAGAGCTCCCTTGTGAACATTTCGTGACCCACCCCTCACATCACCTCCGTTTTGCAGGTCTGCTGACTGAGGCCAGGCCAGGGGAAGGCACTGGCCGAAATGTCACAGTAATCAGGGCAGCCTGGCTGGAGCCCAGCTCTCAGGAGCTCTTGGACTATCCGAATCATGGACCAGAACACCTGGAGTTCTACCTACTTGCTGTCAAGTTGATTCCAACTCATGACGACCCCATGTGTGTCAGAGTAGAACTGTGTTCCATATGGGTTTCCGGGGCTGGTTTTCTGAAAGCTAATTGCCAGGCCCTTCTTCCAAGGCACATCTGGGTGGACTCCAACCACACATTAACGTTTGTACCTCCCAGGGTCTGCCCTAGACTCCTAGAGTCCTGGACTAGAATTTTAGATTCTTAGAATATAGCTGTGGAATCTTAGAGTCATAGATGCTTAGACTCGGTGGAACAGTGAATGACAGAATTCCAGAATGCTGGAATCAGACATTCTTAGACACAACTGTGGAATGAATCTGGGCCCCTTGAGTTCTGCTTTCCTCAGCTGGGAGGGCTCTACGTCACCTATCCACCTCGCGCCACCCTGTACACTGGTCCTTTTTATAGCATCCCCTATGGTCAGCCAATCGAAACCCAAGGCTGGAGGAGGGAGAAGAGCTTAGGCTCCCGAGAGAGGAGAAGTGAGCTGGGCAAACCTAATTTCCAGGCTTCAGGGACAGATGCCCCCAGGGAAGCCTGGGGCGAGCTCCCAGCACAGCCCCCACTCCCCTCGGCTCATGCATGTGCGAGCACACGGGTCAGCAGGAACACAGCGCGCCCAGCCTGGCCTCCCTTAGTATTGGCACATGGAATAGCCTCTTCCATAGCCCTAGCTCCCTGTGCCCCACACACACACCCAGGCTCCCTGCCTCCACCCCCATCTGGGCCCATCTTCCCCTGTCAAAGTTTAGCAGGCCTGGTGCCAGAGCAGAGAAATTACAGCTTTCCACGCGCCGTAAGCCAGACCTGCAATTTCGGTGCCGCCTTTTCTTTAAGGAGCTGGGATCCTGTGCAGGATCTAGCTCACCCTCGGGGAGGAGGGACGTTTCCTCCCTGTCTGGTTTATCTTTGGCACAGGCTCGCCTGAAAACTGGGGGTGGACTCCTTCAGGGACAGCTCGGGAGGAGACAGAGGCCCAGAAAGGGTGAGCGGCAGCCCTTAGCCCCACAGTAAACAAGACGACCCCTCAGGAATGCCGCACACCTCAATCCATGCCCCTCTCCCCCTAACGGGCATATTTGGGGTACAGGGATCCTGGATGATTTCTTTCTTTAACCCCCAGCACCTAGCATGGCACCTGGAACATAATAAATGAAACAGAACCAAATGGTTCAGCAAGCAGAGCTCTGAGGTAGTCAGTGGGGTGGGGGGAGTTGTTTAGAGAGGAGGAAGTTGAAGCTCAGAGAGCTTAAATCTCTGTGCAAGGTTGTCCAGCTAGTGAATAGGAAGCCAGAATTCAAACCTCAGTCTGCCTACTTTTAAGCCACTGGGACTTCCTCTCCATGCTGGCATCTCTAATGGTCTCAGGCTGAGAGGAATCAAGGGTCGTACAGCCCTGGACCATGCCAGGCTAACGGCCCCTGGCTGTCCTGCATTCTGCTTGCCCTTGAACCCCAGTGGGGCCTTCCCCATAGTGGCTCAGGTTGTGTTGGCTGATGCAGCTAACTCACCCTTACCTAAATGTGTCCCATAAGCTCTGGGTTGGAGGGTTGGGCTCTGCCACTAAGTGAGTGCCGAATTGCTGTGTGACCTTAGGCAAGTCACTACCCCTCTCTGAGCCTTAGTTTCCTCATATGAAAACGAAGACATGCTGTACCCACCTCCCGGGTTGCTGTCGGATTAAATGGAGCGTGGTGAGTGGTGCCCAGCACACAGAGGGAGCTCAGGAAAGCTGATGCGTGGGCCAAGGAGCCCGAACGGAGTGTTTCCAGTCTCTTCCAGCTTGGACACTCTGCTATTCTGTGATCCCAAGATTCTGGAATTGGGCACGAGATACTGAGATTAACGCTCCCGTCCCTGCAGCCCACTGAGATGTCACAGGGAAGCCCCTCTCTTTTCTCCATGGGCCTCCCACCCTCTCCCAGCTTCCAGCCCCAGCCTCCCAAGTACGTCCTGGGCACAGCCAATCCCCAGACCCCCACTCTGCAGGACCACACCTAGGCCCCAGCCTTCTTACCTGCCCACAAGGTGAGGGGTCCCCTCCTTGCTGCCAGGCTGGTGATCATCCTGCTGCCCCCTCCCTGTCCAGGCCCCACGTGACTCCACAGCAGCCCTTGGCCAAAGTCCCCAAGCGGCAGCCACTTCTAG